ATAAAAGCTTTGCCAGTAAATAACAACTTCAGGCAATATAAATTTCATCAAAACACGTTCAAGGTGAAGTGGCAACCTGTTTCAATCACTGTTTTTAACGCATATGTTATGGGATAGACAGAATCATCTCATCATGTCACTAGGCAAGATCTACGACGCTTACCACCATATCAATGACTTTGGTAAGAAATTAACCCACTCCACCCTGGTTTTCGTTTGTATTGTATGGCAAATGCACTTTGAAAATGGAAATAACCAATTCAACCAAGCCAGGAGCATAATCATGGAAACAAAGAAAGATGGAGAGCAGAGAATCATTGAACACTGTATCAAGGCCTTTGCGGTTCTTGCACAATAAATTGCATTGCAAACCATAGTCTGGTGTTATGGTTACTGATAAGGGAAATTTCATTCTCCAAATGGAATAAAATTCCAGGAAGAATACATGAGACAAAATATCTCAACATTGGAATAAAGTGCCTCAAAGGGATTTCTGGCTCACAACAGTTGCTCTGGAGAAAACATATCTGTCCGGAAGATATCTGTCTGCACTAAAACTGTACTTATTTCTTGCATATGCAATTACATACTCATGTCTGCATTAAAAGCAGCAGGGAAGAATAATATTATTCAGAAAATTTCAAGACAGTCTGTGAAACTCTAAGAACTATGTTTTAAGAGCAGAGGAAATAATCTTCGAGAGACACTGTCAAGGTCATTGGATCTTGGATGTAACAAATATCCTCTTCACAGCTGTTCAAAAGTTTGCTTGATTTTTAATGTAGATGCCCCAGAGCTATTACTTTTTCTATAGTAGCTTAACATTTATAATAACTCTACATGGGAGAAACTCTCAGTATAGTAAACCACAGTGTGTGTGTGTGTGTGTGTGTATAAATACATAAATTTTGCCACTGAAAAGCCTCATAATTCTGGATTTATGAAAGGAAGGGCTGGTAGATAATACACATCATAGGACTTGGCCTCAGTGCATTTCACCCCTTCATATTCCCAATTCCAAGTCATTAAGCTGGAGGACCAGCCAAAGATCCTTCACAGCAGCTTTCAGGACCACCAAATCTGTTTCCATTGTGTCTGCCTAGCACAGCTTGGTGTGGCAGTCCTGTCACTGCTTAGCAATCTAAAGGTCAGGCATTTGTGTGAGTGCTCTGTCCAGGGCACTCTTGCAAGCTTTCAGAAAACACAGTCAGTTTTTCAAGGACTTTTTGGACTTTGGTAATTTTCATTCCAAGGCTGAAAACAGGAAAGAAATTTCAGCTTCCAAAACTTCATTAGAATAATCAAATAATGTGCAAACTAGAAAGACATTAATGGTATATTTCTGGTATAATAAGGAGTATGCTTGCATACATTCACAGCATGAATGAGATTTAAAGAAAAAAACCCCTCACAAGTCTGGCTAACATGCAGCGTTTCTTCCAAGTCCAGTTGAAAAATTCAGACTGCAGGCTGGCAGAGCTGAAGAGACGTACCCGAACTATGGAGAAGCACAGGCCTTACAGTACCGTGTAATATAGCTCCTCAGAAAATCTATTATGGCAGAGAAAGGATAAAAGGTAACAGAAAAGGAACGTGGCTGTACTAACCAAGGAATTTGAGGTTTTGGATCTGCAGAGTAGTGAGACAGAACTGAAGCAAGGTTTATTTCCATGTTAGCACCTCAATGACCTCCCTTGGCAGATTATTCCATTGTCTGATGGGACCTCAGTGTTTGACTGTTTTCCCTAAAGACTTCCTCGTTTAGTGTCAGCATTTGATATTGTCCAGAGCTCATTTGAATAGATCCTATGTTTTGGGTGGTTTTTGAAAGTGTGTATGAGATAGTAACAATAAAATTTCCCCCCTTAGTCATCTTAATGGTTGGTCAGAAAATAGATGAATACCCGTGTAAATATATGCATTCTTGCATGAGTCAAATTTTGTATGTGCATGCAAAACTCAATTTGAATGCACAAATGACTATATATGTATTGTATGCTTCTTT